TTTTCTATATGCCATTAGTCGTTCTACTCCATTCTTTCCACTCTATTGTCATTCTCCCAATGAGCTTTGTTTTCACAACAAACTCCTAACTAGTCTTATGGCATCTACGGAATCCACTCCCCATTCTCTACTATTAGGTAAATTTTATAAAATTCTGGCTTTATTTTATCACTACTCCATATAAGTACCTTTGTTTAAAAGTTTTCTGCAAGACAAAGGCCAAATTCTCCAATTCGGTGTTAAATGTTAAATTTCTGGGGCCTATCCCAAGAGACTGGAGGAGAAAGGATTGCACTCTGGGAAGTGATTTCTCACTTTCCCGCTCTGTCTAGCCTCTCCATGGCAAGAGCATGCACTCTATGGCCAACCAAACAAACAAATGAACAAACCTGGAAGGAAAAAGTATTCAATTTCTTGGCCTTGCTTTATCCCTTTAGTTCTTTCTTCCATTATTTTTCTGTGTGTCATTATAGAGGATAGTGAAATGTCATGTCTACTTGCTGTCTACCAGATATACCCTGTTCTTGGTCATCTGCGTTGGGGTCAACAGTGACTTCCACATTGCTAAGTCTAGCGTTCATTCCTCGGCTCTCATCTATGTATTTGTAGCTCTATTGGCTGCATAGACTCAGTTGTTCACTCTCTCTTCTTTGAAGCTCTTTTTTTTTTTTTTGGAGAGGTTTTTGCCATAGGACGCGTGCCAGACAGACAGAGAGAGAGAGACAGAAAGCGAGAAATCACCCCCCAGGTGTGATGGCAACGCTGCAATCCCTTCTCTAATCTCCTCTCGGGATCTTGGGCACGCACGCACCCATGCCTGGCATGAGTTTAAGCCACTGGGTCCGGGATGCAAACCGCGGTTGACCACATGGGAGTCCAGCAACATAGCCATTATGCTAACTGCTGGTCCCTCGTCTTTAAAGCTCTTCACACGGTGCATCACCTCATCTCCCCAACCTCTTAAAATTTAAGCTCCCCCCAATTCAGATCTAGCCTTATAGTTTTTCTCTCCTTCTTTGTTGTTGCTAGAGAGTGTGAGAGGCAGAGAGATAAAGATGAAGAGGGAGAAAGTACTCCTCCCTCTACCCCCCACGATCGGCATGGTCTTGCCGCAATCCCTTTTCCATCTCTCTCTTCTTTCAGGATTTTGGGCACACATGCATATGTGCCTGGCATGTTTCTCAAGCCAACAGGTCCAGTACTCAAACTACGTGGTTAGCCATGCGGGATCCAGTCTCCTTAACCACCAGGCCACCAGCTGGCACACCTGGTTTACTTTTATCCATCATACTCTTTTTAGTATCCTTAAATCTTACAATTTTATTATGTAGTTTCTGATTCTCCCCTAGTCTATGAGGTCAGGGACTTCTGTCTGTTCACTGCTGAATCCCTAGTGTCTACAACAGTATCTGACACACAGTAGGGTCTCAATAAATAAATACTGGATGAATGAATTTCTACACGTTTGTTCATGCTAACCTCTTCCTGTGGAATGACTGCTATTTAAGTCCTGCTAATCTTTCAGAACCTCATTCTTAGATTAGGAAAGGTAAACAATAAGCACAGAGAAATGCTTAGTTTACAATAAGCACAGAGCACTCAGCCCCAAGATAAATGACAGTCAAGAAGCCAGCACGAACTTGTCTTAAAATGGTTTAAGTTTCCAGACCAGATGAAATTTATTCCTTGGGACTGAAAGAACTTTAGAATGTGTCTCAGATCCAGAGACAATCTGAGCAAATTGACAATAATCCCGCTCTGTCTAGCCTCTCCATGGCAAGAGCATGCACTCTATGGCCAACCAAACAAACAAATGAACAAACCTGGAAGGAAAAAGTATTCAATTTCTTGGCCTTGCTTTATCCCTTTAGTTCTTTCTTCCATTATTTTTCTGTGTGTCATTATAGAGGATAGTGAAATGTCATGTCTACTTGCTGTCTACCAGATATACCCTGTTCTTGGTCATCTGCGTTGGGGTCAACAGTGACTTCCACATTGCTAAGTCTAGCGTTCATTCCTCGGCTCTCATCTATGTATTTGTAGCTCTATTGGCTGCATAGACTCAGTTGTTCACTCTCTCTTCTTTGAAGCTCTTTTTTTTTTTTTTTTGGAGAGGTTTTTGCCATAGGACGCGTGCCAGACAGACAGAGAGAGAGAGACAGAAAGCGAGAAATCACCCCCCAGGTGTGATGGCAACGCTGCAATCCCTTCTCTAATCTCCTCTCGGGATCTTGGGCACGCACGCACCCATGCCTGGCATGAGTTTAAGCCACTGGGTCCGGGATGCAAACCGCGGTTGACCACATGGGAGTCCAGCAACATAGCCATTATGCTAACTGCTGGTCCCTCGTCTTTAAAGCTCTTCACACGGTGCATCACCTCATCTCCCCAACCTCTTAAAATTTAAGCTCCCCCCAATTCAGATCTAGCCTTATAGTTTTTCTCTCCTTCTTTGTTGTTGCTAGAGAGTGTGAGAGGCAGAGAGATAAAGAGGAAGAGGGAGAAAGTACTCCTCCCTCTACCCCCCACGATCGGCATGGTCTTGCCGCAATCCCTTTTCCATCTCTCTCTTCTTTCAGGATTTTGGGCACACATGCATATGTGCCTGGCATGTTTCTCAAGCCAACAGGTCCAGTACTCAAACTACGTGGTTAGCCATGCGGGATCCAGTCTCCTTAACCACCAGGCCACCAGCTGGCACACCTGGTTTACTTTTATCCATCATACTCTTTTTAGTATCCTTAAATCTTACAATTTTATTATGTAGTTTCTGATTCTCCCCTAGTCTATGAGGTCAGGGACTTCTGTCTGTTCACTGCTGAATCCCTAGTGTCTACAACAGTATCTGACACACAGTAGGGTCTCAATAAATAAATACTGGATGAATGAATTTCTACACGTTTGTTCATGCTAACCTCTTCCTGTGGAATGACTGCTATTTAAGTCCTGCTAATCTTTCAGAACCTCATTCTTAGATTAGGAAAGGTAAACAATAAGCACAGAGAAATGCTTAGTTTACAATAAGCACAGAGCACTCAGCCCCAAGATAAATGACAGTCAAGAAGCCAGCACGAACTTGTCTTAAAATGGTTTAAGTTTCCAGACCAGATGAAATTTATTCCTTGGGACTGAAAGAACTTTAGAATGTGTCTCAGATCCAGAGACAATCTGAGCAAATTGACAATAATTGGCGACTGGATAAAGGACTGACTTTCAAAAAAAAAGACAAAGGACAATTTACAAATAATATTCTAGAATAAGTTATTAAATACAAACTTTGTAAGATTTTTTTTTTCAAGAGATTTTTGCTATAGGGCGCATGTGCTTGCTGGAGAGACAGAGAGAGACAGAAAGTGAGAAATCACCCCCCAGCGGGGATGGCCACGCTATAATCCCTTCTCCTCTTGGGATCTTGGGCACGCACACACAAGTGTCCCGCATGAGTTCCAAGGAGACCTGAACCACAGTTGACTACATGGGAGTCCAGCAACATAGCCATTATGCCATCTACTGGTCCTGACAGTTTGTGAGCATTTAGGGGAAAGTATGGTGATTCTTAGAGACCTGCAAGAATTTCATTGAAAAGAAGCTGAAACCACTATGATTTCCTTTTCGGACAAGATTACTAAACTGGAAGGCTGGAGAATGACTGGACATAGTGTGCCTGGGCTTTAGCAAAGACTAACAAAACCTCCCATGGTTTCATTATAGATAAGACAGTGACATGCTGGCTACATCCCCTGGTGTTCTGCTTCGTCCCAATTAAGTTGGAAAAACATAATTCACAGTGATTGTTAGAAGCTTGATCTAAATCTGGAGGAAAGGTCTGCAAGAAGAGTTAACCTTTGGTTTGAAATATCTCAAATGTTTTTTTATAGTCATTTTGAAGAAGCCAGAAGACATAGCTATTATGTCTGTCAACTACAAGAGGCTAGGAGGAATGATGGATGGAAAATGAAGTCAGGATTCAAGATAATCTTATGGGATCTTCGTGGTTTTTTAATGGCTTTTAAATGATGCATTAAAACAAATTTAATATGGTAACAGATTTAACATACTTCAGTCCAAAAAGGCTGCTCTATCAGTATTAAGGACAAGGGAAGAACTGACTTTGGGTGATTACAAGTTCACCATGAGCAGGATGCTGCCCCAAGGGAAAGGCCATGCAAACTAGACACAAGCTTGAGCCCAAAGCAGCATTTCTCCTGTGCCCTGCGCCATCAGACCACATCTGAAATAGTGTGCTCAGTAGAAAGTTTCTAAATGTCGAGGCCTTTCAGCAAAACTGATCTAAGGAAGGGTGGAAGAAAACGAGCATATTTGGCCTGCAAAATAGAAAATTTATAGAGAGCCAGTGTAAAGATTTCTCAAAGTGACCAAATTCGGATACTCCGAGGAGGCAAAGAAACGTTCATGACCCTGGAAGCCGCGGGGACACCAGGGCTCCAGGCCAGACGGGGGCGCCTCGTCCATCACATTCTGGAAAGTTTCCCAGGAGTCCTGAGAGCTTGCAGGGCCGGGTCTCTCCCCTCATACCCGGCTCCTTCGGGCTCGACCCTGTGGCGGGGACACTGTCGGCCCCGACCACCTAGCCCGGCGCCGCCGCGCCCTCACTGAACTCGGTGACTGCGGACCCGAGGGCCGGGCCCCACCGGCGCTGTCCCCGCCCGCGGGCTCTGGGTGTGGCCCTGCAGGGCCCGGCGCGCCCCCGGCTGGCGAGTCTGCCTGGCGACCGATGGTGTCACGGCACCCGCGCGTGACCCGCGGCCACTCTCCCCACCCGGCTCGGACACGTGCGGGCTGGAGCTTCGCAGGCCCCCATCCACATCGCCCTTGGGGAAGCCTTCATCATCCCGCAAGATTCCCAGCTCTTCAGCCCCGTCCAGCTTCGCAACGGCGGTCGTATTCTCTCCTTATTCCAGACCCTCGAGCTCCCCAGGGCCCCTACCCTCTCGGAGGTCTCTCCATCCGCTCCCCAGCGAGCACCCACAGCCCCTCACCTGTAGAAGGCCGCGTTGACTCTCTTCTCACCGGGGAAGCCCAGCATCCCGCAGACCACGTGGCTGTTGTGGGCGCTCCAGCCTTTGTCGCACACTTGGAGCCAGCCTTCGGGTAGCCTGACTTCCACCAGCCCCTCAGTCACGGGCAGCGGCCGCCTGCCCCACCCCACCGCGGGTCGGAGTCGCACCTCCTCGACTTGCAGGTGATGCTCCACCTGCCATGGGGTCACAGCAGGGGGAAAGCCCCAGTGGCAGCCTCCCTCTGTCCCGCGG